CGAAGCCGTCCCAGCTGACCCCTCAGCTTCCTCCCCACGACCCCTCAGCTTCCTCCCCACGACCCCTCAGCTTCCTCCCCACGACCCCCGCCTCGGTGGGGATGCAGGGACCCCGGGCGGCCTGGGAAGTCAGAACCGGCTCCCAAACGAGAAATCAAGGGGCAGCAAGCAGGTGATTGGTTTTCCAGAAACGGGCTGTGTGTCTGAGCTACTTCGAAGCTTTCCGGACGTCACAGCTGCCTCTGAGGTGCACCCAGGGCGCCAGAGGCTGGCGGGGTGCGCATGGGGGCTTCCGGGGAGGCCTGTGGGCAGCCAGACACATGCCCGACACAGAGGGCTGGCGATGTGCCCGTCCTTGGCCACTCCTACCCGTGGGCTCACACGTCCCAGAGAACCCAGACCTAAGCCCCCATCCTGGCCCCTGGCTTCCCTCTCCCTGAAGCCCCCACTCTGTCCCATCCCCAGCTGACCACCTGCTTCCTCCTTCCCGGAGAAATGAGAATGGAGAGGGACCATCCAGAGCCCTGCCCCTCTTCAGCACAGTCACCGCTGGGCCCCAGTGCACCCTCCAAGCCCAGCTACCCCAACACTCCTCCCCGTGGCACCCCCACCGCGCCCCCTGACTGCCCAGCACTGGGGCCAGGGCTCCGTCCGCACCTCCCTGGGGTGCTCACCCACCTCCTGGTCCTTTCTGCAGACCAGGCCTCTCCAGCCGGCCGCAGGGCACCAGGTACAGCGATGACAATGCAGCCTCCCCGGGGCATCGAAGGCAGGCAGGCTAAACATGCCCCAAGCCGAGTTCCTGCTCGTACCCCGGACCAGCCCAGGCCCTGGTGGTCGGCACCTGTCCACCTTCTCGTGCTCTGTGGCCACCGCAAGCCTGGTCCAGACTTCAAAGCTCATCCCCAGCCCAACAGAATCTCACCACACACCTCGCCCGCCCCACCAGCAGGTGTCACAGGTGACACCAAATCGCCACCGAGACCTCAAGCCCCGTGGAGCTGCCCTCGTCTCCGGCTGCTCCCGTTCTCTCTGTGCCGTCCACAGGGCCTGGGCTCCTGCCTCAGGCCTTCCCGCTGCCCTTCGCTCTCCCGGGCTGCTCGTCTCCCAGGGTCTCCTCAGGAGACCTCCGTGGCGCTTTGCCTCACCCACCCCCAGCGACGACTCCTCCCTCCTGGGCTCGTCTTCCCTCCTCTGCCACACTGAAGGCCGGCGCTGGGGTAGTTTTCTCACTAGCGCAGCCTCAGTGCCCAGCGCATGGCGTGACCGGCTGGAGGGCCTCGGCTCACCTGTGCTGGGTCAGCGTAGATCTGCAGCACCTGCTCTGCGCCAGG